AAAGGGAGTTAGAAACTTGTGAATTTTAGAGGGGGCTTTATTTATGAAATGGGTGTCAGTAAGGATGACATCATTCCAAAAATGTTACAGACATTGGATTAAAACATAATGGAACAAGCAACTTCAAGGATGTGACATTTTTTCTCTCGATTATCCCATTTTGTTGACAAGTGTTCGTACACGAGCTGTGATGGAGGATACCCTTACTCACCAAAAATTCTCCCAAAATAAGTAGAAAATTTTACAACCATTATCAGTCCGGAGAACCTGAAAAGGAGTTTTGAACTGAGTTAAAATAAAAATGCAAAAATTTTGAAAGGTGAAATTTATCTTTTAAAATGTAAACCTGCATCATCCAAGTGTGATAATCAATTTAAGTCTGAAATTATTGTTTATTGGTATAGCTGAGAGTGTGAGAGGGTCCCCATAAGTTACTGTGAATGAGAAAAAAAAACAGAAGGTGTGTAAGTGTAAGGCGTGTAATAGACCCGAAGATGTTTGACTAACTGACATTTCTTACAGTTGAAATTAAAAGGGTTTTTATTAGAGAATATCAAAGGATGCAACTTTTTAAATATTAAAAATTAAAATGACCTAAAGAACAATGCAACAATATAATTGGACATTCACTGACTCGAGATAAGCTACAACTCTTAAAAGATATGTCCTCGCTCTCCTTGCTCTTCTTTTGGAAGTAGTGGAGTCCAGCTACCATTTTAGCAGTTTTAATCATCATCCCCGAATGACGAACCTGAAAAACACAACCACCAGAAAAAAAATGAGCAACGCAAGCAACATTAATTGTCAACTTGCTAATAGATATAAGTTACATTGTAAATGGGGAACATGTAAAATAGACTCTAGAGTCAGATCGGCTGTTAATGCAATTGATCATTTACCGACAATGAAATTACAGGAACCATCGACAATTCTAACTATATATATTTTTAGAGCACGCATGGTAAGTTGATAAAGCTTGCAATTATCCAGTCATGTGATTTGTGACGCCTAAATCAATAAACCACAGACTAAAATAATAAACAGTGAGAGTCATAAGAGTACTTTGTCGGGCGTGGGAGGTCGACGGGTCCGTAGAGACTTGATTGGCTCCATGAAGCTTGATCAATTGCTCCATCTGATTTTTTAGGCATTCGGAGGATTTTGGGAAGTTATGGGTAGTTGTTAGATTAAGTTGTGTGGGCTCTGCCATCGTCGTTAGACCCTTGAAAGCAGAGGATTTGGCCGATAGTTTGTATGTAGGCTTACCAAAAAGTTTTCAAAACTTGTCTCGAGTGTGATTGGGTTTGTGACAGTAATCATAAGTGGAGTGATTGATCTGATGTGACATAGACGAGAGCTGAGCACTATTTGAGATTGAGGCAAATGACTGAGCTGAAGGAGTAGAAGTGCCGAGCATGACCAGTATTCTGCTTTCTTCTCGACGAATCTCGATGAAAGCAGTGAGAGCGAAAGGAAAAGGATCCCGACTAGGAATACGGCCACAGACTTTGTCAAGCTATTTGTTAAGATCAGCTAGGAATTGAAACATACGATTCTTTCTACAATCTTTTGAAAGAAGGATAGGTCGGCCGAAAACTCCCAAGTGTACTCGTAATACAGGTCGCATTTCATCCATATTGCAACAAAGTCATTATAGTAATAGGTCAGAGTCCTTGACCCCAGTTTTGCTTCCCGGACCTTCTTAGATGTCATAGAGGTAGCCGAAATTTTCTACATCCGAGTATGCATCACGGACAGCTATCCAGAGGGCACTAGCTGAAGGAAGGAACATGTACGAACGACCAATCAACGTCATCATGGAGTTGGTCAGTCACGACATGACCATGGAGTCCTCTACTTCCCACGATCCATTTAGTTAGTCTTTGGAGGCTCATGAATCAAACTTGTGATGTGACCGAACTTCTCACGTCCTTTGATGAACACAGACACCGCTTGGGACCATTGGAGAAAGTTATTGTCAATTAACTTATGGGTTGTGATCAAGAAATTGTTGGTTTTCGATCCTCTGATCTGCAAGGAAGTGGATGATGGAGTTGTTCCTCTGGTGGAATCAAGAACAACTTTTGAAGGTGATTCAATGTTGGAGAAATCCCCCATAATTCCAACAAAGCTAAAGGAGATGTTGTTATGGTGTCGAGCCATCAATGAATTCCAATAGGATCACAACAAATGGATAAAACTTCAGGAATTCGGATACACGCAAGGAACTACATGGGAAACCTCACAGGTAGAACCGGCGGCAATAGAACCGGGAAAACGACTGGTGCTTGAAACAGAAGACGGTTGCAGAGAACTACGAGAAAAAACAGTTGGTTGTTGTTGTGGAAATTTGTGGTTGTTGCTGTTGGAAACGTAAATGGGCTACTGCTGGAAATAAAAGGAAACATGTGATTGTAGAACCAAGAAAACTACAGTTGTTTCTGTAGGACCAAAAAAAATTTGTGGCAGAGAAATCAAAAGTGAAAACCACCGCTGCTGGAACAGGCAAAGGAGGTCGGCAGCCGTTGGAACCGGCAGAAGAGCTAGGCGGTACATGAAGTAATAAAAGCAAATAGGAAAGAAATAATAAGTAATAATGGCTAGAGATTTGATTGTCATTATAAATCTAATAAAAAACTTAATCAGAAAGGCATTTGCTATGGTTCAAGAAATAAAATCAACGCTTTGATCCATCCAGAAGATATAACAAGTTCGCTAATTGTCCAGTCCATGTTATGTTCTATTCTGCTATCAAAGCTGCAGAGGAGGAATTTTGTATGGCCAAACAATTGATGGGATTAGCATGTTGGTGATCATCAAAATGTGGTCAACTCTAGTTGACATTGATTGATGGTGATATTTTACCTCTCTAGCAATGTGTTGTATCTAGCCTAATGGTTTAATTGGTCTAATATGGCACATTGCCATCGTTATTAAATGGTATATGTAGCCATCATCCATTGTTCTCCAATGAGTCGTCTTTGTTAAAGTGCACTCTCCTAAAAAACATGATGCACCTACATGAAATAATGTTATTGATCTCTCTATTCTCCTCCTCACATAACACAACAAACTATTGTTTTATCTGTCATATTAAGTAGTTCGAGAAGATGTTTTTCTTAAATCCCTCCATTCTCATTTGATAATTTATCATATGTTGCACGATCAATCTAAGTTGATGTTTGCTGCATTGGAAGTGCCACGTTGGAGGTAGTTAAAGTTTTTAGGGTGACCAAGATTTTGGCACTTTGATTAAAATACTTACTTTAAAAATTGAGCATCTTGGGCCAAGTGATTGAAGATTTTAACAATAGAATATAAAAACAACTCAAATCCTCTCTTCAAGATGACACGAATTGATGCATGCATGGGCTTTCCAGTAATGAAGCTAGCTAGATTGAAACTTCTAAGGTTCCTCCCATTGTCCTCAATCAAAATCAAATCATCACGACAATAAATTAAAATGAGTTGAAAGATTTGAAATTGGAAATGAAATTCTAATACTGGTGGATTCTACTAGCAATGAGGTAATTTGATGAGGAAGACTAATGGAATATGGTAAGCTAAGGTTATATATGGAGTTTAATAGCCTTTAAGGTGTAAGCAAAAACAATAATTATGGTTACTTAGTGCCTTCATGAAATTTTAGGGTTTGCAAGGATTAAGGGTTTCTAGAAAAGATTTTCAAGCGTGCATGCAATAATAGAATTTTCTTAAAGAATCAAGAATTACAATTTCAATGTAAAACTTCATAAAGATTCATGAAATAAACCATAAAGAAGAGATTGAAAATAATGAGATCATCCAATGCATGTGTGAATCCAAAAGTTTTAATTAGTTCGTCTTTCCTTCGTACTTCTCTCAAGTTAAAGAGGGAATCAAAACTTCTTGCAAATCTGTGATGAGATGAGGAGAGAGAGAGAGAGAGAGTTACAAGGCTTGGGATGTGTGCTAACAATATGGAGCCATTGGATCTGGGCATCTTGCTCAAGTCCCAACTAAAGAGGAATAAGTTTAGGATGAAGAGGTATAAAGGGAAAACCCAAAAAATATAATGCGTGAGTAAAGAAAAAAATCAAGGGTTCACCAAATTATGAATGATCAAAGAGAATAATTTTTCAACTAAGAGTCAAAAGTACATGAAACAGGGCTTTATTTATAGACATGGAGCATAAATAAATCTAATTTATCATATATTCAATTCACGCAAATAGGAACTAGCTCTCCATATGATACTAAAAGTCCAAAATAAACCACAAACCTAGGGTTGAGCAACCAAGGATAAATCTTGATTGTTGAACCTTCCCTTCATCTCACACAAAATGATTGAGATGTTTTAGAGCTTAAATAAATCTAATTTATCATAAATCCAATTCACAAAAATAGGAACTAGCTCTCCATATGATACTAAAAGTCCAAAATAAACCACAAACCTAGGGTTGAACAGCCAAAGATAAATCTTGATTGTTGAACCTTCTCTTCATTTCATACAAAAACTATTGAGATGTTTTGGAAGCTCCCAAACTTATAGAAGGTTCCAAGGCATCCTTCCAAAAAGTTCTAGAAATCTCTAGAAACAAGATTTTCTTTATCCACAATAAACTCAACCCGTAGTTGGCATGTCCTAAAGGTTTAACATAATTAAGGATAAGAAGCTAACACTAATTTGAGTTAAACATAAAGTCTAAACCCAATTAGGACGAGATAGGGTAACCCTTTGAATCAACATGGCTAAGCACTACACTGGCTCGACATAAGAAAACCATGCATGGATATGGTACTAAGATGCACATGGAAGTAAAAAATATAACTAAATTAAAAGTGATATAGGAATTTTGTGTGCATTCGTGTGTGTTTGTGCGGGCGTGTGTGGACTTAATATTTTTAGTTAGCGGCATTTACAAACATACCGCCCAATTCTTATGTATTTACATATGACGATTGAGAAGATGGAAGAGTAGAATCACGATAAAAAAAGGTGAAGGCGCTAAGAAACTCACTGGCAATTACAGAGAAGAATGCACTTGACCATATCCTCAAACAAAGTTGGAGACCGAAAAATCCTTCCCAACCCTCTTTCTCTGCAACCCGCATGAATCCTGTGAAACTCTTGGATAAACCTATCACTATCATCAGACATTCTTAGCATCCTGCGCACTTGATCCTAAAATAAACCCAAAACAAGGATAGATTAGAAAATATGAGAGCACAAAAGAAAGGAGAAGTGAGACAAAGGGCTAATAATAACCAACGAGAAGTGCTTGCTCGTCTTCGAAGGAAAGAGAAGAGGTGCCTGGAACGGATACAGCAACGGGACCGGAAGGGCGAGGGTGGGAGATGCGAACCCTAACGGTGCCCGAGGGGAGGCGGATGGGGCGTTGAAGAGTGGAGGAGGCCGGACCCCATTGGTTGGGAGCCATCATGAAGAATCCATGGCTGCAAACAACATTTGTTAGATCGAAGGATGGATCTTTCACTGGGATCTCAAGTACCAGCATCTCGCCGGCGAGATTGGCGCCGGACTCCATCACCGCCGCTTCGAAACAAGTAGGGGCCAGAGTAGTGAAGAGTGGAGGAGCTCGTTGGTTCGAGCTTAAAATTCACGACATTTTCGTGTATTTAAGGGTCCGTTTGGGCAACGCAGCCCGTGGGCCGCCCGGTCGAGTGTAAAAATTTAAATGGAGTTTCGGATTAGCTCATGAAATGCGCAAATTAAATAGTACGGAAAACGCCGTTCGCACTTATAAGCTGTTCCAAACGGATCCTAAATATTTAATACTTATAAATTTTAATATTTTATCATTATTTAAAGGGTTATTTTTTTAGTTTTTAAAATATTAGAAATAATGGTTTTTTTATATTTAATATTTGAGTGTTATAAATATTAAAAGTTTAAACCCGGGTAATGATTAATTGTGCTAATTAGTTATAAGTTATTTGATTATGAATTGATTAATAAGGATAATTAGAATGTAGTTAAACTTTATGATTAAAATCGTGCATTTGTAATTATAGTTGTTGAATTCAAATCTAGAATGTATTTTTGATTAGTCTTTATTGAAGAAATTATTCTCTCATTTATAGGAGCTGAGGGTACAACGTGTATAATTATATGCTTGCCATTATTTTTAAATGGGGGTCTTATAAAGTATTTTAAGTATTAAACGAGTTTATGATTAGGCCACGCCATTACTTGGTCAGTTGAGATAAGCGACCAATGGCCGGCAAGACTCGTTCGTTGGACTATGTTGAGTCGGGACTGTTTGTTGGCTTTTGAGGGTCTTAAGTTTGATTGGACTTAACTTTATCAGCTTGATTCTGTCGATCGGTTATTATGGTCCAATTGTTGACTATCAATATCTAGATAAGGACCTTTTGTCACTAAAAAGAGATTAGGTTATCAGGTAGATGGCAAAACATTATAATTCAACATGCAGCTCACCCGCCTACAAAAGTATTTTTATGTTTTCATGAAGCATATCGCGACAAAACCCTCTGCCTCCTGATGAAGTGGCTTGATGGCTCTCATAAGACTACTGACAGTGCTGGGGTGACAGGTGAGCGAATGTCTTCTCTCAGCTTGACATATCTTAATATTTTGTTTCGGATGGTCTGCATCCAATCGGTTTTGGATTTATTTTTATATCTCCCAGTCCGTGAGCTCCCGCCGATATTCAGGCCAACCAATTTCTCACAAACTGATTTTAGAAAACATTGATTTAAGAAAGCTTTCATCGAATCCTTTTAACGAGAAAAATATATAATTATCACAACCATTATTTAAAAAAAATCAAACTTTTTTCAATATAACCTTACATTTAATTTTTAACACACCCAAGTTTCATATGCAAAAAATTAAAATTTTGGTGTTAGATATGTAAATAGATAAGAAATGAGTGGTATGTATATAAATCTTCAAATTTCACTAACAGATCCACACGCAATAAATTAATTCCTTAAAAAACCAATATTTATTTTGTTACCCAAACACCCTTTCATTAAAATATAAAACATGTAACCAAACTCCATTACAATAAAAAACTATTATTTATTATTTCATTTATACAATTGACGTTGATAAAATGTCAAAGAAATTCTCCAATTATGCATGCTTGTCATTTTAGTCCCAAAGTTCGTAGAAGCGTTAAAATAGTAATTCATATGAATGATTATTAGAGCTCAATTTTAAACTAAAAGACGAATATTTTGACACTTCTATAAATTTTGAGACGAAACTAGCCCCATATAACAACTGAGGAGTATTTTAAGCTTCTATAAGCAGCTTGGAGGAATAACATAGCCGGAGACACTTCCCCTTGCATTCCTACAAAATGACTGCGCCGCCATTTTCTTATCCTCATAGATCAGATCTATGTCGTCCAATCCGATTCCACTGCACGGATTGCTGACGCTGCAATCCAATTTTACTGCTACCTTTGTCGCCGATGTGCCCCTTATGTTCTTGAAGGATACCCCGCGTATCTTTATCCCAGAGCTCTGCATATTAACATAAATAAATTAATTAATTAAGTTTTAATATGATAATTAACTTATGGTTCGTTTGGGGCAATTTATTTAGTGCTGTGGCATTTTGAAAACGCACCAGATCTGTTTGGGTAAACTGAGTTTTTAGTAGCTTATGCGTTTTAAAAACGCTGAAAACAGTGTTTTCACATCGCACATATCAAGATACGGAGGCAAGTTTCTGGTTGTGATATGACTTTTAAAAAAAAATAAAATTTATAATAGACAATACATCTAGCAACAGATAATTATTTTTAAATAGCAAATTATTCAATAAACTGCAGTTGGCCCAATAAACCCCTAGTAAACACTACTAATTACCTGTTTAGGACACCCCTTTTTCTCCGGGCAATAATTCTGATCAACAATAATCGGATTACTCACTCCGTTCATCACCGCGTCCTCAAATCTCACCCCTTCCACAACCCCGCCGTTATTCTCCTTCGCCCAAGTCTTTATTCTCACCCCATTTTGCGTCCCGGTGAGCATAACCGACCTCACCGTCACGTTCCGCACGCCGCCGCCCCGCAGTGGGTCCCGCCCCAAGCTCCCGATGCTGATGCCGTGGCCGGGCCCACAGTCCACGCCGGCGATGTCCACGTCTGATACGCCGTCTTTGATGGAGATGCAGTCGTCGCCGGTGCGAATGATGGCGCCGTCTACGATGACGGAGGAGGAGAGTTGGATGTGGATGCCGTCTGTGTTGGGGCTGTTGCCGGGGGCGGAGATGGTGGTGGAGCGCAGGGTGACGGCGGTGCTCCGGTAGATGCTGACGTGGAAGAGTTGGCTGTTGAGGGAGGTGATGCCGGAGAGGAGGGTTTTATTGCAGTTGATAATGGATAGCGACTGTATGTTGAAAGAGATGGATTAGGGGAGAAATTAAAATCAAATTCAGGGTTTTTAGATCTTTATATATATATATCTTAAATTTTATTTTCTTTTGAAAGAGTTTACAATTCTTATGTATTTACATGTATAATACCTAAATTTTGATATTTATATTTATAACACAAGGTGTTAATATGTAATAAATTAATGCAAATAAAAAGATATAATTCACTCTTAAATAAATAAAGCTGTTAAAAATTTGAGGGACATTACCCGGAGTAAGAAAGCTTAACCGTCCGATATATAAATACATAATAATTTTGTGCGTTATATGTAAATGCGCCACATATCGTTAAAAAAAAAGAAAAACTGACCGTTGCACCAGTGGGACAACTCCCGCCGGCCATCTTACAATCCCACAGAGCCTCCCCCCGGCCGTCAAACGTCCCTCCATAAATCGAAAGCCCTTCAACCTCCCGAAAAGTAATCCACGTCTCACCGGCTCCGTCGTAGCCGGAGGCCGCGACGAAGTCGGCTCCTTCGGCAAATATTTGCATTTTGGCATTCTTGCAGGGGCCGGAGAATTCGGCTCCGCTGAAGAAGTAGGTGCCGGGCGGGACAAAGATGGTGGCTGGTGTTGGAGCAGAGCAGGCTTTGGACCAGGCGGCGAGAAACGGGGCGGCGGAATCGGTCTGGCCGTCGGGTTTTGCCCCGAAGTTGATGATGTTGAAGGATGGTGTTGAGGGGGACTTTGCTGTGGTGAGAGTGAAGAGGAGAAGGAAGGTGATGATGAGGTTTGCGGCCATTGGAGAAGAGAGGGAGGGAGAGATTGGACTGTTATCGAGCAATTGGGGGAGGAGGAGTTAATTTATAGGAATTGTGTTGGGAATATTATTATCATTATTGTTTTGGCATAGTGGAGAGAGAGTGAAATCGGAGCTTAATGGATACCGAAAATTCATGTCTGGTAAATTATTTTAGTTTGGATTAGATTTTTTTTGTTAATAATGGAACACAAGAATATGATTCTATGTTTTACCATGCTGAAAATTTATCACTTGTGGAATTTGTATGCACGCATATTCGATATACAATAGGATTATACACTAATAATAACAATAATATAAATTCGGCAACATGAAAATTTTGTACGTAATATTCTTGATACACCACCAACAAATTTTCATCATCCGACAAGAATCACGAGACATGACACGGATCCCGAGATGATATTTTAAACAAGAAACGTTCAGATTTTGATTGGAATTCATCCAGAGTTCTGATTTCAACAAACTTATAGTCAAACTGACCGACTCGACGAGACAGACGTAATGATATAAAAATTAGTCCAATCCGAGTCAAATCAAACCCAGATCAGATTATTAAACCACACTTACAAGATTTCATCGCAGATTTGGAAGGACAAACAAATGTCGACACTAGCAAACTTATACTCGAATCGAGCATCTCGACGAGACAAATCCAACGAATCCAAGATCACTCAATTTCGACATCGTTAAAGCACTCAAATTTCCATTAAACGTTGTTTGTTTGAGGGAAACTCTCTTGAATGTCTGATCAAAATGGTTAATATTCCAGCATTAATTGCACCCATATTACTATAAATATTTTTTAAGATCTATATATTAGAAAAATAGCACTTGGAAGGTCAACCACGTATTTTAACAAGGAATATTGACAAGATATTGCGTAGAGGATTAAAGAATTGACTGCATGGATTACGACAAGTTAAAATTCAAAAACAAATGGGACCAATTGAAGAAGAAATGAAAATTTTGGAAGGAGCTCAAATTTGGATGTACTGGTTTGGGTTGGGATTCCATTAATCGGCCAATCAATGCCCTGGAGAAATCGTGGGCTGAGAAATTGGAGGTAATAAACCCACTTTCAAACTTTTATTTTGATTTACATTACTTATTTTTTTTTCTCTAATAAACTCACTTAACCCCCTCTTCCATTACAATGTCACAGTCAATGCCGTCAGCAAATAAATATAAGCAGTGCAGAATTGACCCAGACTTTGAAGAAAAAATCGACATAATGTTTAAAGTGGTTATCGCAACAGAAAAATTTGCATTCAACCCTAATGAGATGGGTTTTGCAAACATACAAGACTTCCCATCTGAGCCGCTGACAGCTGATGAAGAAGTGCGTGGTGACCAGAGGGAGATGGGAGAGTCCAACTCACCTTCAAAGAGGCCCATACTTGGTTAGAAAATAAAGAAAAGAACACCTTTTTGAAAACCTCATTTAATCGACTCATTGAAGTTTTTGGTGCTCCACCACCTGCTCCAGTCCTTGACAACACCATCTTTGAATGTCTAATTAGCTTCTCTACCTGAAGTAATTGCAGACAGGCGTTTTCATGCAAAGTGTGTCAAGAAACTTGAGGATCCAACCCGTAGGCAAATATTCATGACGCTGCAGCCAGAGTTGGACGTCAAATATTTGTGTGTTTTGGTTGAGGAATGAATTTTTTTTTATTTGTTGTTATTTTTTGTTTTTTTTATGTTATGAACATGTAAATGGGTAATTTTAATATGTTGTCCTTTGTATGGATCTTTTTTTTAGTGCACTTCTATATGATTAATGTTTGTCAACAAGTTGATCTTTGTACATTTTCATTTTAAGTGCTTCATGTTTTCCTTACTTACTTCTTGATCCCACAATATATTAACAATTGCTGAAATTACTAACATCTTTTGAATTTATGATGGATCTGCAGCATGAACGTCGTAAAAGAATGACATGGGCTGCATCTATTGCAATATTGTTGTTGGAGTATTACCGATCCAACAGTGTTCGTATACCTTGTATGACGTCTAGTTTTATTGAGGATAAATGGGTCGGTAGCTGAAATGTTTTCTGGACATCTAATAGGGTTCAACAACATATTTTGAATGATTGTACCTATTTTGATGGATCTCCTAAATGAGTTATCTTTGAATCATGACCTCAAAGGTTCTTCTAGAACGATGAGAAGAAAGGTGTTGGCTATAACAATATATATTTCGACACATAATGAATCTATTAGAGGTGTTATGGAGAGATTTCAGCATTCATCAGAAACAATAAGATATTATTTCTCCAAAGGCATGCAGGCACTTGTTAGCTTGACAGCTCAAATCGTTAAACCAGAGAATCCATCATTTGCTAGTAATCCAGGAGAAATTGTCAGCGATCCTGGTTACATGCTTTATTTCAAAAGTAACTATTTGTTTCTTTACATTACTTCCAAAATTTTGTTTTTTTTTTTCTGATGTTGTAAAACATAATTGCATAGGTGCAATTTACGACACTCACATCGATGCCCAACTACCCAATCAGGACAAGGTGACGTACATTGGTCGTAGTGGTTCAACTACTCAAAATGTCATGGCAGTATGTGACTTGAACATGTGTTTAACTTTTGTCATGGGAGCTGGGAAGGGATTGCACATGACTGTTGGATTTTCTCTTATGCAACTAGGAATAGATCACAATGTTTTTCTCACCCGCCTTCAGGTATGATTTGATTTGTAAACATACTAGTTATATGTATTATTTGTCATTAACAGTGCATTCCATAACAGGGAAATACTATTTAGTCGATGTTGGATATTCTATGTAGAGGGGTTACCTGAAGCCATATCCAGACACTAGATACCATATTCTTGATTTTGAGCGAGCAAGTAGCACCATCTGTGGTAGGAAAGAAATGTTTAACAAACATTACTCCTCTTTACGCGGAGTAACTGAAAAGAACTTTTGGGGTTTGGAAGAAGAAATGGGTCTTCTTACGTGATATGTCGTCGTATCCATTTCAAAGGCAGATGCATATTGTGGTGGCAACAATGATCACTTCATAACTTGATTCGACGACATCCTTCACGTTCAGAAACAGACTTTTGTATGGCTGATAACGATGAACTGAATATCTTTGAGAACCATCAACATGTGGTTGGGCCTTCAGTCAACGAGTTTGAGGTTCATGACGTTGAGGGTGTGGCTGAGATGAAAGCTTTGAGGCAGCTGATCCACAAAGTATTCTTTATCTTCGTGTGCACGTCTTTTTGTTGTTTTTTTTTTCAGGATCTGAATTTTTTTTTATTTCTTCGGATGGTCACGAGAGTGTGAACACTATATGTTATCTTTTAAACTAATCAGGGATGATTTCTAGGTTATGTATTATATATTTCAGTTCTCATTTTAGTTCTGTTGCAAACTGTTTAACCAAACAGGGACAAAATATTAATTTATCTAACAATAACTCCAGTAAGTTATTCTGAATAAACTGCCCCAAACAATAAGTCAGTTTATTCTGATAATCTTCAGATTATCGGAATAGTCTGTTTATCAACAGATTATAAATAATCAACAATTGCCCCAAACAGACGCTTAGTCACAAAGATATGTGGGCCGGCTCGTCAGCTTGATAAGTGGCTTGTGAACTAAACTCAACGAGCTAACAAGTCAAGTTTAAGGGCCCATTTGGGGCAGATTAAAACTACGGCGGCGTTTTTGAAAACGCCGCATTTATATTTGATTTGCACATTTTACTCGCGTTTGCCAAAACATCGATTTATAGCGTTTTATTATTTCTATTAGACGTGGATCGCGGGTATAACTCCGCGATCCAGCGTTCGAGCGAAGCATTTACGCCTCTGCCCTAAAACCCAATCCTCTAAGCGCTCTGCCGAAGCTAATCCCTGTCGAAGGAAGCCAAAGGAAGTAACTGCCGAAGGAAACACTCCTACCTCTCCACTACTCATCCCTGTCGAAGGAAGCCACAAGCAACACCTCTACCTCTCCGCCGCTCATCTCTGTCGAAGTAAGCTCACCGCTGCTCATCCCTGCCGAAGGAAGCCGCAAGCAACGCTTTTTCTACCTCTTTGCTGCTCATCCCTGCTGAAGGAAGCTCACCGCTGCTCATCCCTTCCAAAGGAAGCTCTGATTTTTTTGAGCAATTTACCTCTGATTTTTTTGCAGTAAAAATTCCTTATTTACTTTAGCGATTTACCTCTGCTTTTTTTTTTATTGATGCTTCGTTTATAAATTTCTTTTGTGAGAATGCTGAAAGTAAAATTTAAGTGTTAGATATGTAAATACATTGGAATTTTGTGGTATGAGTGTAAAAATGAAAATTTTGATTTGTGATATGTAAATCCATAAAAATTGAGTGCTATATATGTAAAAATGAAAGTTTTTTGGATTTTAGTACATTGAATGTGTCTCATTGTATTACTATTGCGAACAACTCCACTGTATGTGACTAAAATGATTATTTTTACACAAACAGCTGCAAATCAGTTGTTCTCAAACTGCAGAAACCAAACAGCGTAACAATTGATTCAGTTTATGCGGAAAATTGTCATTTATCCAGAAATCGCTGCAAATCAGCTGTTTTCCAAACGCACAAACCAAACAGCCAGCCAGCTTATTCGAATGAGCTGCTCAACAACAGATTATCAGGATTAACTATTTATCAGCAGATGCTTGATAAGCTGCAACTACCCCAAATAGACCCTAAGCTAACTCGAACTTGACTCGTTTTTTAGTAAGCTTGGTTAAAAAATTTTGAATATAAAATGTACTTAAAATATATTGAATTTAAAGATTTTATGCCTGAAGTATTATAAATATTTAAAAAATAATTTATTGTATTTTATATTATGTGATTTATTATTATTATTCTTTTAATTATTCATTCTATTTGTCATTTATTATAATACTACATTAAATTAATATATTTTTTCTCTTTTATGATGGAGCCGGCTTGAACTCATAGATTAAGCTCGAGCTCGAGATCTAACTTGATCAAATTAATCAAGGTTAAGCTAAG